TTTAGTGGGTGGCACAGGGCCTTCTGCACTCCAAGGCCAGAATCCAAACCAGGAAGCACTATTTGGCACTGGTGGCACTATTGTCACCTGTTGTGGCTCCTCTTGAATGCTCCCAGACGACGATGCGATGTGTGAATCCCCGGCAACAGAGGAGGGAGCTGGGGGAGGTATATCGCCTAGGTCAGACGTGTTCAACCGAGGGGGATTGCTTGAACCTTCGGATGAGGCTGTGCGGGGTGCACCAGACCAGCCTAGGAAGGGCCACCAAGAGGCACTAGGGGGATACGCCAGACTGGAGGACGCAATTGATGCCGCAGATGATCCTTGTGCCGATTGGATGGTTTCTGGATCAGGAACAACTTCTATGGATATCACTTCGTTTGAGATTCGTTGATTCACCCCGGATGGAGTTGGGGTTAACCCTAGAGTTAACATATTAGACAATTCATAAGGCAAGGGAAACATAATTACCATTTATACCAGTGACCTCGACGACTTCTTGGAGAGTGTGCTGAAGATTTACTTTCGGCTTGCCCAAGAAGGGGAATGTTAAGGTGTACCTCGCGGATGAGGACCCAAGCGACGTAACCGATGGATTCGCGACTGGTACGAGCGTTGTAAGTGGTTGAAGGAACTCTCTCTTTGGACTGGGAGGTAGAGATGGAACAGTTGAATCAATAGAGGGTGCGATCGACTTGCGCTTGCCGCCCAACCTAAACCAGCTACCTGGTACGGCCGGTTTCAAGGAGTGATTCTGAGCTTGAGCTTGTGCAAAGGTCATGGGTGTGACGGTCGCCATCATAGACTCGTCTATGATAGAGTCCGTCAATGGTAAGTCTGGAGGTAGATCAACCGATAGTGAACTTGGAGAAGGCTGCACTGAGCTATTCCCCGAGGCGATCATTCCAGTGGGCTCTGTGATACCCAGCTCATTGGAGACGGGGTTCGCGCCTGGTTGTGGAGCACCCCGTCCGCGGAAACCACCAAACCAACTTGACTGGCTAGGAGATGCAGCAGCTGACGATGTTGCCTCTTGTACGGGATTACTGGATGCAGGAAGTGGTATTGGTTGTGAAATTGGAGGATTGGGATTAGTTGGTTTCGACGCTTGAACTTCGGGTATTGTGACTGGTTTTGGTTCAGGTACTTTCGAGGGTGTCTCAGGTTTTGCTTGAGGTGTACGTGAGAACCAGCCCGATGAAGTGGATGCAGGTTTCGTGGAAGAGATTTTTGCGGTGTCTGTATTTACTGGAGGAACCACGGTAGCTTCTACGACAGGCTCGACGTTTTTGGGAGCCAAAGACGTCAATTCAGGCATAGGCTTGATAGAAGATTGATTCCGCGTAGGTTGACCTCCCACAGCTGGGTTCGAGGGTTGGACCGTCTGAGCCTTTGAGCGTCCTGATGTGCCAAACCATCCGCTTCCCCTCGAAGTTTGCTCCCTTGTGGTGGATGCCTCTACTACAACGCTTTGGGATGTAGAATTTGGCGTAGACGGCAAGTTCACGGTTTGTGGGGCAACTATTTGGGGCGCTACGCCCACTGCGGATTGGCCGGAAGGAATAGGGAGCGTCTCTTTAGGCTTTGAACTATCAGAGATGTTCACAGGTGTTGATAAGAGACGCTCCTTTCGATCCGTAGGTGGAGAGATGGAGTCAGCGTCACCACCGAGTGAAATATGACGCTGCGTGGATTGGCGTCCACGTCCAAACCAGCCAGACCGTGAACTCGGTGCGGATGATACCACTGGATTGATGTCGCTGGGACTTTCTGTGGGCGTACGTATGCTCTCCATCGTCGGCGAAGGCTGGTATGAGCTGCTCAACCGTGCATTGTCAAAACTCGGTGAAGGGGAAGTGCTTAGCGCGCTCTGGCTCGGAGACGATGAAACAAACCTAGCTTCAAGGAGTGAAGAAGCTGACTGGTTTGAGGGTGACCGCGAAGGCTCAAATTCTGCAAATACGGCCGAGAGTTGGGTACGTGGAGGCTGCTTTGCTAATGGTACACGCCATGAGCGAGTGGATGTTGTAGAAGATATACTAGTCCGTCTGTGTCTGGTACTGTTGTTGTTGCTCATCTGAACATTATCGTCTTATGGTCCGGGTAAAGTGCTGCTCAGGCACGTGAACGGGGTCCGGTGGTTGAGAATTACACGACTTTTGACGTCGTTCGGCGAGGATTGGGACCGACTCTTGAGATAAATCAGAATAACTAGCGATAAATATGGTGGTGGTTTTACTTGAAGAGAGTCGAGATTTTGGCTCTCGCAAGCCGGTCTCTGGTCTCGGACCCGACGCCCAATCACAACTCTGCTCGAGGCTGCATAGACTTTGGCAAGCTTCCATGGTTTTAGCGAGAAATACGTCGACGAAGACCAGCCTTTCTGGTTATTCCGACAACCAGCTCGTCTGAACATCAATCGATTTACGGGTATACAAAACGTGTTGCAATTCAGGATGGCTCAGCATTAGCCACAGTTCTCGAACAAGGTCTATTAAAGGAGCTAATATATTGACAATACTCAGTGTTATCTTATCGAGTGCGTAGAGTCTCTATTTCTTCCTTGGAGAGTCCATCCAACCGCTGGAGGAGATAGTCCACCTAGTCAACCAATCAGTTATCATCCATTACAAAACTAAACAACACTAACCTCCACTTCCTTGGTCAAAGGGATGATATAATGCTCATAGAGTTGTTCCACAGCATCAACATCCACACGGAAGCGTCCCTTCTTTCCATTGGGAGATACGTTTGGTACAGTTGCTTTATTCTCTTCAGCTTGTAACTCGACAGGTTCGCCTTGCATATCCAACTCCCTTGCATATAGCGTCGCTTTCTTGCGTAACCTGACCAAGAGTGCCTTTTCTACCTCTGGCTTGGTGATGAGAGCCTCTAGTGCTGTTCGATTCCGATCAATAATATGGGGAATAAAGTCTGCCGGAGCAGATTGGAACTTGGACTCGGAGACGAATTTGCCTAGGGGTGTCTATTGAGAGTTGACCACCACAGTGAATGAGGGGCCTACCATAATGTACCCTTTTGCTAATTGCTTGTAGAATTTCTACATCAATAGTAGCAGCACTCCCATAGTTCCCATCGTCGTCATATTCCCCTTCCCCCTTGATTCCCTGGGCTCGGTTGGCGGCTGCGATGGCCAATGTCGCTGCCTGAGTGATACGCGGAACAAAGTTGTGCACGTAGAACGAGAGGATCGATTGGTTCACATTGACAGTGTTTGGATACAATATTTTGGGATATTTGAGAGGAGGAAGGAGAGGCGATGGTAAATCGGACGTGAATGGGGTCTCATCTGGGCTACATTCAATTCATTAGAACCTTTTATTCCTAAAATTTGATGAGGATTCTAAATGACCTGCCTTGTGTATCGACGTGCCTTGGCTTCGGAAGTGGGTCAGTGCTTCGTGATGAGATTGAGCGCATGATCTCACCGTGAAAGGTCTCTGTCTCTTTCAAAAACCACTCCAGCCACGAGCCATCGAATCCATGCTCCTTGAGTGCAGGTATTGCACCTCGCGCATAGCACTTCGGATTATGAGCGAACTGAGACCTCTCAATTAGGGCTACAAGAAGAGATATTATGATCACCAGTGAGATCAATAGGGTAAGACTGGTAAACTTGGCTCACAAAATAGGATGGTATCTTCCAATCTGACGAGGACAGATCGAATCCGTTCCAAAGAAAGGGGGTTTTCCGAGTTTAGAAAGTTTTGCATAATGAAATACACAATATGATGCGACAAAAGAACACCCCGTGAGCACTCTGGAATGATGCGAGTTAGCCACAGCAAGTGGCAGGTGGCGGCCAAGTGACTTGAAAGTTCGACCTCCCACCCAATGTGAATCTATGCACAATTGTTCCATCTTTGATCTATCTCGAGACCCTAGAATCAATCTTCAACTACGGATCAAGTGGACCGGGCTTGCCTAAACCTACTGCGCACACGCCTCTGTTGATCTCCATTAGGAACGTCAGCCGACTAGCTGAAATAGAGCCTAGTCGAATTCTTACAACTAGCTACACTTGAGAGCCATCCAGGAGGAATGATGGCTTAACTACATTGCCACCAACGAACCCCGCATCTATTCTTAACAACACGGCCCGGCATCGACCGCTCGAACGAAAAGCGCTCGGAGTAATCGACACGCATCCTTAGCAACTATGTCGAAAGTTCCTGCGACCATGTGATTCTTTTCAAGCGTTCTTAGCTGGCATAGGATCCGTAAACCCAGTAGCAGCTGCTGCAAACTGTAGCCGAAGCCTCCCGATT